TTGTAAAGAGTGAAATTGATTTTCATTCCCAATGATTTTTATATGGTTTTAATTATTTAAAGTTACATTTAAGTATACTTAAAAAATTTCATCAATAATTTCTTTCATACCTAGCATATTATTTTCTTTTGATATTGCAAAAATTTATCTTTCACTGTATAGATTACTCAAATTTTATGTAAATATGTATGTATTAATTGAATATACAGAAAGTACAAGCGTATGTACATGATTACGTTACATGTATGCACAAACGTTAATGCACACATTCCTATAGCTTACGTACGTTGATGTTCATTATTTTATGTACAATGTCAAAGTAAAATAAAGCAAGAAAAGGAAAAGAGATTTAAAAAAAATTAAGGTAATCAATTATAATTAAGGTTTTCACATATTTACTGAGAGTTCAAAAAACGTTTAACATCGAACCACCTACACACAATGTCTTCAACATCCCTGCATGATTTTTTTTATATTTTTTTTTTGGTTTTGTTATGCTTTTCTCTTTTCTTTCTACTTTAAAGACAATAAAATTAAATTTTAAGAAGTTTTTGCATAATAAAAATAAAAATATTATTTTTAAAATTTTTTTCCAGTTTAATTTTTGTAATTAGTGGAAAAAAGAAAACGAAACAGCACAACAAAAACAGGAATTACACACAAACACACACGCATTAAGTAATTTTTTCTACGGTTGTTTTAAGTCGACCTTTCCGCTTTGGTTTAATATTTTGTTTTTTTTTTTTTAGAATTTTAGATACTGATAAATTGCGAAAACATAAAACAAAAACCTGAAGAAAACAAATAAGAAATGGAAGAAAATTATAAAATCTCTCCACACCTTTTATTCAAAACATTGTTTGTATGTATATAATGGACAGTGTTACCATATCAATTTACTGCTGTTCAAATTAATTTTAATTTTTGTAAGGTTCTTAGAATCTTTCTTACAAATTCTAATAAGACTGACAAAATCATAAGTATGTTATTATTATTTCTTAAAAATTTTTTCAATTGAATCAATTTAAATAATGCTTTCGCATAGCTCCCATACAACTCAATAGATTATTTTGAATATTTCAAAAACAAATAAACAAGATGCATAAAATTTTGCAGTTACGTGTTCAAATATAGTTCAAATATTGCTATAGAATTTTACGGATTCAGGTAGCTTCTTTACAACCCTAAGACTCTAAAGCCTAAAAGTTAAGATTGAATTTTTGAAAAAATTATTAAAGGTAGGCGCAGTTCTGTGTCCAATTATGCTTTTACAGATATACTTTTGTAGAACTTTCAGTAATTGATAAAAATTAAATAAAAAATAAGTTTTATATTAAATGAGGTACTTAAATTAAGATAAAAACCATCGACTGCGCGTCTATTTATTGAATTTTTTTAATAGTGGTTTATTTTTATAGTTATTTATGCATAATTTAAGAATAACATAATAACACTCTCACTTATTCCTGAGCTATCGTGAGGAATATGAAAATGCAAAGCTGTTTTGTATGGAAATCGTGTTATGTAAAAATTAAATCGAACCTATTAAATTATGTAAGAATATAAATATAATGCATAATCAATTCAAATTATAACATTTCTCAGGTTATCTTACAACCCTGAATTAATCTTAGCCTTATTTTGATTATGTTTTTGTAATATTGGCAACTTTAAATAATATACATATGTTTATACGTATGAACAAAGGTAAAAATAAATAAAGAAACAAAAACAAAAAAAAAGAAGAACAGGTAAAATTTTAGACTGGAATTGACTCTCTTAACTGACGGTGAACTTGAATTCGTATTCATTCGAGGTGATTTAAATTTACGGTTGAAATAATCCCCCATACTTATTTCTTTAAATAAAAAATTAAATGACATGAATGAAAAATGTATAAAAATTTGATCATAAAATAAGATTTTCTTTGATGAAATAATTGTATATACCTACTTACATACGTAAATTCAAAACTATAAGTAATAAATTTGTACTAGAATAGATTAACTCGGGGATTTGTTTAACTTATTTACAAGAGAGAACAAAACTATACTTTTGTCAGAGTTCCTTTTTACAAAACACAGTGGCTATTGTTCATAACTTGAATATCTCATTTTTATGAATTTTAATGACTTTCTTTTGAACAAAAATTAAAAAAGGTTTGTAAAAATTCAATAAAAAAATTTTTATTGGAAAAAGTATATTGTTTTTTGTTTCTGTTTTGCTTTTATTATTAAGATTTTTTTGGAAAGATTTTCTGATTTATTAATATGTCATAAAACGATAAAACTGATAAAGTTTCTCGTAATATTATTAAATCAAACCTTTGTGTAAGTGTCTGTGTGTTTGCAAGTTTATCAGAATTTATGACTGAATAATAAAAATCATAGCCGATAGAATATGTTGTTATTAAACAACTACAATACAATACATAATTTAACAGGTTAAAGGTACTTGAGCTATTAAATAAATTAAATCATATTAAGTACACACATAAGTATATGAGTTCAAAAATTTACAAATTAAGGGTTCTTAACTAAAGTTTTAAGCAATTGATTAAAGAATTCGGCTTATCGACTGAAAATCGATCTGAGTGGGATATAAGATCCAATGACTTTATAGCTATTTTAAGAAAATATTTAACAATAAAAAAATGTACTCATTTTTGTGTTTTATAATGTGGAACCTTGTCTGGTACACAATATATAGCGGCTTTCTACTATTTCTTCTTATTATCTCTAATGATAATAAATAAAATTTATTTTTATACTTTTTTACATTTGCGAATTCGTACTTTGTACAGCGTTCACGAAAGTATGGATAAGTTATTAAGAATATTAATAGATTTACACTCGACGTTTAAGCTAGATACATAATATGTAAGTATGGGAAACGCCTACAAGTGGAACAATATTATAATCATGATTTCATGGCCTCAAGAATTCCATCTTATCAAAGTTCAATTACACTAAACTTTCACTTTAATTCATTTTGTTTCTTAGGCTATATTATTTATAAGTAGCTGTATGAATATTCATTACCATTAAGAAAATTTACTTATGTACTTATCTAGTAAGTTTTGAGATAGTTTGCACATTCATTTCATATTATTGTGAAATTCCAAATAAATTTAAAAACGCACATATGTATTTACATGTATGCCATTATATGAAGAAATTTAAATAAATTAGTGGATCACAAAGATTAAATTAAACAAATTTGCAAATATATGTACATATTTTTATTTATGTACAAACCTAATTTTATTTGATATTTCATAACAAAAATTTGATTTAGGCTAGATATACTTATGGGTTTAACGAAAATGAAAAAAAAAAACACAAAAAAAAGCACAGACTCAAAACCAGTTAAAGAGCTACGATTATTTGTAGTTTCATACTTAAAAGCAAAAGAAAAGCTATTAAAAGAAGGTGAATACAAAAAAAATTGAGGTCAATTAATTTATAGTATAGATGGCTTGTATGTATGTTTGTGTTTATATTCTCAATATGAATATTTATATACTTATACGGATATGTAAATTAGGACTAGCACAAGATGGTACAACGAAAATAAACATTTTTTTATCAGAATTCTTAATCAAACTGAAGAAAAAAAATATAATTAAAAGAATACTTTAATCGGGAATTACTTAAAATATTGTTCTTTATCAATTTTAGCAATATAATATACTTTTATTTGTATATGTACATATTTTCTAGTTAATGTTGTGTACCAGTCCGGTGCTATAGGATGTATCAAAAAGACGTCAGAGAACCAGTTTTGAACTGTTACTAAATTGTTCATAAAAAATCAAACTAATCATGTTTACAAATATGTGTAGTTAATAGAAATGATATTTCAAATTGGATGAGGCTGAACATATATGTTGATGACGTCCTTCTACTGACTCACTCAGCTGAAGATATGCAATTCATCACAAATAAGTTAGCAGAAAAAACAAAGAAAATAGGTATAAAAATAAGCATAGGAAAAACCGAGCTAATGAGAATTAATAACACAAGTCAGGTCTCCGTTCGCGTACAGAGTACCTTTATTGAGGAGAATTCGAATACATGGGTACGACAATAAAAAAAGAGGTAGGAACAAAGAAAAGGTAAAGAACGCAGGATTTCCAAGATTCAGTAGAACGCAGGATTCACTAGATTCTATACAACTTGGAAGTCAACCCATATATCACGCAGAACCAAAATTAGAATATTCAACATAGTTGATGAAGCGAAACATAGTTGATGTCCAGAACTAGTATGTAAAATATACAGGACAGTACCCTTAGCAAATGTCTCAAAATTATATGCAAAATATTCTGGCCACGAAGATTTATGAGCCAGCAGCTGTTAGAAATTTAATAGAAAGAAACAAAATATAAAATAAATTTAAATAAGAAACAACAAATGGATATGGATTGGTCACATATTAACACACCGAGAAATGTCAGTAGCACGTCAAACCCTGGAATGTAGCTCCCAAGAGAAATTAAAGGAGTCATGAAAAAGGAGTGTGCAAAGAATATTGGGGCTAGCCAAGAAAGAAACAAAGAAATTCGGTACTTACACATATTTAGTACTTAACATTCCTATGAAATCTAAGAATATTTATAAATATATTTATATATATGCACGTACATACATATGTTAGTAACACAATATTTAATGTACTAATTTGAATTTCAGTTGAAATACTAGGTATACAAATGTGAATAACTGTACATGGGATATAAAACTAACGGTAACGAAAATTTTGTTTCAAAATAATTACATACATATATGTATGTCTCAATATTGATATGTATGACTGTTATGTGCATAACTATTTAAGTTCTTTATAATAAGTATATGTATGCCCATAAATTTACCTATATATTGTAATTATACTAAAAAATTAAATGAAAAATAAAAATACTAACTAAAATAATTGAATATTATTGGGTATACAATAGGTATAAGTAGTATAAGTAACTAAGTGTACAATATACGAACCTTTTTTGATATTCGAGAAAATCCAGATTGTGTTGGTACATTAAGAAATCCGGAAAGAACTGGAATTTCCACATCCATTTTCATTTAAGAAAACCAGAAAAATAACCAAAAAAAAAAAACAAAAACAAGCAAACAAATTTTTTATTTTGTTTTTTTTTTTTTTTTTGACTTTTTTTTCTCTTGTTTTTATTTGTTTGTTTGTAAGTTTGCTATGTGTTTTTGTTTTTAATAATATTGCAACTGATTAGTTAGTAGATATAAAAAATAGTTACTTATGTACATATGATTGTATGTATACACGTGTGTATACCTATGTGTATAAATTTTTAATATCTAAAATATTAAAGTTAAGGAATGTGTAAATTTAATCACAGTATAAGTATGAAATTTTTTAATTTTCTTTTCTTTTTCTCGTTTTTTTTTTTTAACTTTTATTTAAAAAATATAAAAAAATTAACATAATGAATTCAAAAATCTGTTGTGAATTTTATTATATAGACAGCACAAGACACATATGTATGTACATATGTTGTATGTATCTCATATTTCTTCCGATTTCTTCGCTTTACTTAATTAAATATGTATGTACACATAAAAACACAAACATATGGCAATCTTTATCCGCATGCTTTTGTATCTTATTATTTTCGTTTCTTCTTCTTCTTCTCCTTTTTCACTTAATATTATGTAAAATATTTTGAATTTTTATAAATAAAATTATTTCATAATATTCATTGATTAACAGCTTTAGCACCTTTTTATTTCTTTGAAATATTTTTTCAATATTTTTTCGATGAAATTTCAAATTTTAAGTTTAATTTTAAATTTGTGACGGATTATAGATTATCACGGTGTTTTTTTTTTTTATTTTTTGGAATTTTGATTTTTAATATAAAAATTCTTCCATTATTGCTTAATTTGCATTTTTTAGTTGTGTTTTATTTCTGTTAATATTTATTTTATTTAAATTTTATCATTGTTATAAATTTATAATTAAAATTTTTCTGAAAAAAAAAAATATGAAAATAAATTAAAATTATTGTAAACTAAAAAAAACATACACACATAGGTAAAAATTAAATTTATTAACCACTCAGGTAAATTTTCCATTTAATTATTTATTCACCACTTTTGTTTGTGTGTTTCTTATTATTTTGTTTTTTTTTATTTAAATTTTTTATTTCTTTTTTTTGCGCTTATAATATCGCTTTAAATCCAAGAAACAATATAAATAAAGAAAAGTTACAATAAAATAAAAAAAATGCAAACATTTTAAAACCAAATAAGAAAAAAAAATGTAAAAATTAAAAACGAACATAGGCCCATAGCAAAATAAAATTATATGTACTCGTATATATATATATATACATATATGTATGTAGGTACGTATAAGTAACATACATAAGTAAATTATGTATATTACAGAAAAAAAAATTAAAAATGCTAATAATGTGTAACCGCCTCAGTGTCACCCGCCGCTGCAGCCATAACCCACAACTCCAATAACAAACAACCCCTGCGTTCGTTTTGCCCCTAATCGACTAAGTCAAGCAGAACCAAACAAAAATACAAATATAATTTTTAAGAAGAAAATTATACAAAAAAAAAAAAAAAACAGGAAAAAAAATAACCCACCTCCATTTACAGAACTGGATTTATATAACACCAACAATAATATTAAATAAGAAAGACAAAATTTATATAGATGTTTATAAGTATGTATGTATTTATTCAATGTTTAGGTATCGTAGTTATGTTAAAAATAAAGAAAGACGGGAAAACAAAAGAGAATTTCGCGATCTTACTTCAAACTATAAGATATATTTTGCAAAATTAAATACATACATACATACGTACTTGAATGTTTTATTTTATATAGCTGAATATGTTTTAGATTTTAAAAATTTAATGGTAAGGCACCGTTAGTAGGAAATGCAGTAGAAATCTACTGTAATCAACACTCAATTTTATGAAGTTCCCGGCTGAGTGAAGACACAAAATTATAGCATTATAGACTGTCTTACAGTGTAAACAAGAGTTTTTATAAGAGCCCAACATAGCGGACAAATTTTATAAAACTGTTTTTCTTACTCCCTTTTTCTTTCTCCCATTGTAACGGTACTTTTCATATTGGTTATTAAATTTAAAACTAATATTGTGTAACATTATTGTGTTTAGTTATTTAAACTATAATTTCGATAAAATAAAAGTGGTTAGACTCTTAAAAATAAGAAAAAATATTTATTTAAAAATTTAATTGATATTCAATATAGTGAATTAACTAAAATAACTCGTGTTTTTTATTTTGTTCACTGGAGCAGATTTTTAATGTATTAAAAAACGATTCGTGTTCAAATTTTCATTGATTGAAATTTTCAATTGTCACAAAAATTTTTTGGTATTAATATTGGTACATTATGTAGATAACATTACGGAAATCATAAAAACTGTAAATATTTGCATTGTAATTATTAAGAGCTTTTATAAGCACATACTAAAATAAAAATATTTAACAAACATAAATCTATAGTTCCCATCAACCAAATAATTTTTAATGCCTTGATTGTTTGAAACACAAAATAAAAAGATCTTTTGTTGAAATTTTTTATAAACAGTGTAAAGAAAACTTAAGCAGGGATTCTACATGTCCACATACATATATTTCATGCGCTACATATTCATTTTGTATGAAAGATGGTTTTGTGTCTCTTTGCAAACTTGGATCATAATTCGAAACTTTTCTTAAAGTTTTTATAAAACACATTCTGTATACTATATTCTTTCGATGGTTTCATTATCGGTTTTCAACAATTAAAACAGGATTCACTTATATTTTATAAATTTGCTATTTATAGCCATAATTTATTAATTGCCGTAAAAAATTTTATTTGCTTATTTAATTTGAACTTCTAAACGTAATTTTAATTAAGAAAGCATTATTTATACTTTAAGCTATAAAACATTTTTTTTTATTGTAATTTTTTATTTATTTATTTTTTTTATTTTGTTTTTTTTTTTTGCGAAAATAAAAATATTTTGCAAACGTATTTGTGTTAAAATAAAATTTTAATAATAGTTAAAGAAAATAATAAAAACAAAATATATATATAAAAAAACTTGTTTTAAAAACAAAACAATAAGAAAAATTAAAAACAAACATCGAAAAAAAACCATGAAAATTGCATAAAAATATCAAAGAAATTCTGCAGTGTTGCAGAGCTGCAAATTTATTTCTTTCATGCAATTTAATGTTTTTTCTCTTTATTTATTATAAAAAAAAAATTTCAATCATTTATTTAAATTTTTCATAATTTTTATTATCAATTCTTTTTTCTTTTCTCAAATATTTTTTCCAATTAAAATCAAATATTTGTGATGTCACAATATAAATTTAATTTGCACCAGGTATTTATATAGTAGAACAACCACAAGTATATTATAATATGAAAAAAAGAGACATCAATATTATTTATCTCATTTTAAATATTGTATATAACTAGTTATTAGAAAAATTGTAAACTTCAACTTAAAATAAATTTTTAATTAGCATTAAATTTAAAATGGAAAAATTTCCAATCAAAATATAATTCTAACCTAAAAAAATATATTATAATTTTTTTTTCTTTTCTAATTAATTATATTATTTTTTTCCCCTTTTTTCTCGACGTCTTTTATATTACTTTTTATTGAATTCTATAAATATTTATAAAAACAAAAAAAAACACGAATATTCCCCATTTAGCCTTCGTTTTAAATCCAATATTTTAAGCCGAGAGTAATTTTATTTCGTTGTCCGATTGCAATGATAATCCGAAATAGACTGATCGAAGAAGCATTAAAAATTAACTTTGTTTTTACTGTATCTGTATATTTATTGTTGATCATTTGTAAGTGTTAGTAAGTTAAAATAAGAATATATATAATATATAATATATAATATATAAATATATATATATATAAAAAAATAAAATCCAACTTAGATCAATGTGAAAGGCAGTTAAATATTATAATATTACTGATAGCATTGTTCAGGTTTAGAATGCATTTCCTAATTGGATATTACGTTTATAATATGTTTTAATATTAGATATAGAGATATGGAATTTATTAGTTGAGAACAATTATTAATATAGAGAAATTTTTTTCAAACTATTTATTCAACTCGATAAGTAATAAAAACAATCTAGGGATCTTAAATAATTCTATCATTTTATACATTTTAAATTCAAAATATCCTTTCTATCATTTGACTCTCTCTCTCCTCCAGCGAAGTTGAACAATACATTTTACAATTGAATGCGCTCCCATGGTATCTTGCTCCTAAATTATTGAAATACAATCTATATTAAAATGTCAAAATATTCAATAAAATACTTCACTTAATTGGGATTGTTGGTAAATAGGAGGCGTTTCAAAAATCCATGAATGACTGTGTGAATCAGATTGAAGAACAGTTCCTTTGTTCATATTTCTCTTCCGGAATGTGCAATATACTAGACTAGTGGAGCAATAGAATTTTTTAATACAGTTGTCTTTACAAATAAAATCATAATTTTGAAAATTTTATGTACTCTAAAGGAATTGCTTACCTCAAATCTTAATGTGCGAAGATCTACATATTTTTCTTTGTTTTTATTTTCTCTTTTTTCTCTGTTCTTTGTTTTATTTTTTTTATTATGTTTTTGTTTCATTCATACAGTATATTTAACATTTTAATTTATTTTAACGACGTGTACCCGCAAAGGAGAATTACAAATATGAACAACTTAATGAAAAGAGTAGTAACATTAAAATGTATAGATGCGATACTAAAAATTCTTATCTTAAAGTATAATTGTGCATACATGTATGTGTATGCAATATGCATACATATACAACAGGTGAACATGTATTTGTTATTATATATTGAACTTATCAATGTAAAAATAAAATAATAGAAGATCGGACGTTGTTGAGAGAAACACAGAGAGAACATACAAAACGGAAACTAATAAAAGTTTGGAAAAATAAAATTATTTTTTTCTTTTTTGGAAAGAAAACTGGTTATACGAGTAGTGTTTGAAATATAATAAAATAAAAATATGAACTTAGTCAAGTTTGATCATTATACTAGATTTATTTAAAAATTTATATGTTTTTCATATTATACCTTTAATTTATCAATAAGAGAGTAATTAACAAATTTTTTAGTAGAATGCAATGCAAAAGCAAATATTTGAGAATTTGAGAACAAAAAATTGAGAATTATAGAGATAATATCTGCAAATCTGTACATAATCTGTATTACTCGTATTGTTGAGAAAAATCTTCAATGGCAACACTTAGCAATTTTTACGGTTTTTTAATGGAATAACTACTTTAGAGTGTTAAATCATTGATTATTATTTATAGGTAATTTTAATTACACAGAATAGAATCAAATCAAAAAATAAAAGAAAGAATAAATATTTTGCTATGTGTGTATTTTTTTTAACAGTTGAAAGAGTTTAAAAGATTTTTCTCTAAAACACCTGTGTAAATATTATAATCACACAGGTATTGCTAATAAATTCTTCAAATGTGTGCGTTCACACAAAGTATAGTAATAACTACTACCATACTACCATCTAAAACTCTCGTTATAAAATGAACAAGTATTTTATTTTTATATTTTTGCTGCTTTTGTATATATCTATAGTATGGCATAATAAATTATCATAACAATATCAAAATCAAAAAATAAGATTGTAAATTTTTTTTTGTTTTTAGATGCTTGACAGTTTCATTGTAGTTATTTCGTATTTATATAATGTTGAACACGAGAAATAGTTGAGAGAAATGAGAGAGAAATTTGTAATAAATCAGAATTGCTTCTTGAAAAAAATTCATCTCATACAAGATTTGCAGCCCATTTTATTTCTCTTTTTTGATTAAATGTCATAGTGAAAATTATTGTGTAATTATTTTGTTATTTCAACTATTCTCAAAATATTGGGTATATGTATATGAAATTTTATGCGCATAAAAACCGTACTATTTGAACTACATTATGTCCATTATAGGCATCGAGGTTAACGTTTGTTCTATTATGTAAGAATATGAAGTCCATTAATTTCAAAAGTACATAAAAACGCTAATGGTTTCATCTATATGAAATATATAAAATTGTACAATAATATGACAATTGTTTAATTAATTGCTAACTAAAGTAAAATAGAGTATTAATTATAGGCTCAGCTATACGGCGGTTACTTAAATTTAAATAAATAAAATTCCTTTATTCAATTATCAACTACAATATTCTTAGTGCATACTAACTTATAAATATTTCGGTCAGTTATATTTCTGAAAAAATACGAAAATTATATCGATAAGTTCTGATTAAAACAACGGCTTATAAAGTAGTAAAGTCGTCCCTTGGTTTCGAAAAATTTCATTTTATTGCATACTTTTAGGGAGAAATCCGAAATTTTAAAAAATCTTGATGTAGTAACGGAATTCCATAAATACACTGTCAATAAGCTCATTTAAAATAAATATTTATTTTTTCGGATAAAACATTCTTTGCTTTTATAAAAATTTAAAGTTTAAGAGTAATTCAACTGGGGATAAAGATAGAAAAAAGACATATTAAACAAAGTGAACTTTCCACAATCATATTGTCGTGAAACTCGCTATAATTTTATACACGGAATTTAGTTCACGATTTCCAAATTTTTAATAATCAATTATTGAAAATTCGAATTTTAGAATTATGAGAGTGGTTTCCTACTCTAATTAATAATTAGCAATTTTTATCTTCAAAGGTATAAAAATTTTCTTCAGACGAAAAAAGAACAAGTTGCAGTAATAAGCAGCATAAGTTTTTTTCAAACGTTTTGCAAATGTACTAAAAATGTAGTAGCATACATTAATAAATAAATCTATACTGTAAATTGCTCAGAAGCACTATCGCATTTCGGTTCAAAGATCTTCATTTCATAGTAATATTAAATATATATAAAAATATATTGTTAAAAATCTACAAGGATTGTTGAATTTGTAATTGTGTAAAATTTATATGGCGTCGTATACTCGTATATAAACTTATTTTATATTTATTTCCCTGTGGGCTTAACATTTTTACTTATATTATATTTCAGAACACATACGTAAAGTAGCTATATATGATATTTTGTTTATTTTATTTAAAAACAGAAGATGAAAGTTTCTCTGAATTATATAATATTTACCTTCAAGATTTATGGAAAAAAAATGATTTATTTATGAAAATATTTTTAAAAATAAACTATAGATTTTGTAAAAAACAAAAACAAATAGCTAGAAATCAATTTAAAGAACTTGCTTTCCTTTATTTCTCTTTTGTAAATAAAAAGCAATTCAAACGAAAAAAGGACTTCAAATAACGATTTTGAATTTTTCCCCTTATGTACAAAAGAGAGATAATATAAAAATATGATGAAAATATGAAAAAAATAATATTATTTTAGTTCTCATATCCTTTTGATATTATCAATAATTTTTTTCGTTACTTGCAAAAATATTTAAGTGCTTTTATCCTGAATTCTTTCTTCTTTGTTTTCTGAAAACAAAATATAAATATCACCTTGTTTTGCTTATTATTCTCTTTCTTTGCAAATGAAATAAAATAAGTTCATCGTCCTTGATACTATAATAATAAATAATAACTATGACTATTATTACTCAAAATCCTATTAAAGAAAAATAAATTTTCAGTAACAATTTAGCAAAATTTTCTGTTATTTTAACTTTTAAAAATTACTTAAGTCATTAGTATTATTATTCTTAATATTATACTTGAACTTGAACTTATTAGGTTCCAAATTACATAACAAAAATTGTATTGCCAAAAGTACTAAATAAATAATTTAGTAAAAGATTAGTAGTGGAAGAGTGCTTAAAATCGAACAATAATTGAAATTTAAATAAAAAATTAATTTAGAAATAATTCTATTTTAATTTTACTTGTATAAGAGCTAAAGCACGCCAACATATTATAAATAATGTCAAAATTTCTGTTTACATTTGATGTAAAACACAATATTGCATAAACCGAGGCGCAATTAACAAATAATCTTAATTTGTACTAAACAATTGAATCAATTCAATAATCACATCCAAAATTCGAAACGATTTAGCTATGTCTGATAAAATATATTGAAGGTTTCCGAATTATAATGATGTTTCCTTTCAGATTGTGACCTTATATATCTTTATTGCATAACTTGAACGAATTTAATATGAATTTTTTTGAAATTTTTTTTTACCAAAAAATTGCTTTTATTCAAGGACATTCGTTTTTTGAATTATTTGATGAGTTTTTTTTTTACGAATTCGATATTGAAATAAAATATTTTATTTTGGGGTTATCCTTTCATTGTTATCAAAAATTTTCATAATATTTTTTTTTGGTTTATTAATCCACACAATATGCCCATTGAATTATTCGTAACGTTAATAAAAAAGGAGGGCAGCTTCTTATAACTTTCATTTTTATTTTTTCATAATAATTATTATTTTTCTCTCAAGGACATAGGTTAATTGAGTTTTAATAATGAACGCAAAATTTTATGCAATATCCCTTTTTAGCACAATTAATATGAAGAAAACTTTCAGTAAAGGTAAGGATATTTTTTTTTGTGATAAAAGCTTTTATAATTAATATTAATGGTCATGAAAAGTTTAAGCAATTTGTTTGAATAATTTTTTGTTTGTTTTATTTATTATATTTGTAGTTAATATTTAATTTAAGGAATTGTTTTATATTTCGATTTTAAAGATAAAGATAATTACATTAGGGGTGAGAGATAATTTCATATTAAATAACAATTTTATGTCTGAAGATTTATTATTGGTTTTAATTAAAGTTGTGAATATTAGAAAATATGTGGATTCTTAAGAATTACGAGCATATAATAAACAAATTTAGCTATAATGTTTTTTTTTTTTGGAATAATCGTAGGGTTGGTTTGCAAATAAGTTGTAAAAAATGATTTCGATCATTTCCATATGCTGGTTATTGCACAATATCCCATCTCTTTTGTGTCAATTTAATCCTTGTACTTGTATTAGTACATATAGCTTCTGGTCTAATTAATAAAAATGCAGTTATGTATGTTGAAATGATTTTCCTATTATTACCATATAATATTGCATACTTTTAGGAGACAAATTTATAATATTTAAAAACAAGTTTTAACTACTATATAAAGATTGAATTATACTATATAAAGATTGAATCAGATTATTAATCAATTAGGTTCAAAACAAAATGGTAATATATCTTGGATAAAAAGCTAATTACTGCTCTACTTTTGGTTTTACATGGAAGTACAATAAATCTGTTCCTCGAAAGTACTGGAGAGCTCTAAGTAACGCCAGCAGGTCTTAGACTCAATGAAGGGAAAATCCCAATCTACACCTCCCAGTGGTGAGGAACGGGCAACGGTCTTCAGGACCGGCTAACGTAGATGGGGACCGAGTGGTTGTCGGGATAAGCAACCGGACCAGTTTACTGGACAGGGCATCCTTATGTCCTGGGAGTGAGAAATCACTCCCAAAGGCGGAGGAACTTCCCGGGGAAGTCAACGGCACAGGATCAGGCAGGCAAGGGGAAACCACCTGATTACAACAATTCCCACGAAAGCACTTATGTTTAAATGAAAAGGAAAAATAGAAGAAAGCTATGTGACCCGTTTAGCAATCGGCGCTACTCTGATTCCGGGTTGGAGAGT